AAAACTACAAATGGAACAAATCAAGGTATAATAGCGTCACTGGACGTTGAAAACTTATTCACAAACGTCCCTGTTGACAAAACTATCGATATTATCCTCAACTCTATATACAATAATAATTCCATCCCTCCGCCATCCATCAAACCACCTATCCTAAAAAAATTACTACACGCATGCACAACCAAAGTCCACTTCTATGACCATAATGGCAATATTTATACCCAAACTAATGGTGTTAGTATGGGAAATCCATTGGGTCCATGCTTCTCTAACTATTATATGTCCTACGTAGAAAATACCATATTTACACAGGTCCACAAACAGAAAATCTATGTTCGCTACGTAGATGATATATTCATTTTAGCTGATAACATTAAAGAAATAGAGACACTTAAGACCACATTTGTGAAAAACTCCGTCCTTAATTTTACATATGAACTTAGCCAAAAAACAAACTACCATTCTTAGATATCCTCGTTGAACATAACAATAACACTTTCATTACATCATTATACAAAAAACCCACCAGCAAAAAACTCGTGCCACCTTAATTTCAAAAGCGAATGTCCACTTAGGTACAAAATAGCTGTAATAAAAAACTTTCTAAATAGAGCCCACCAGAACTCATCCTCTCGACTACTCTTTCTCAAAGAACTTAACAACGTTAAACAAACACTAATTAACAACGGTTTCCCTAACTACCTTATAGACCAACAAATTAGAATATTCCTCCCCAAAGCAAGTAATAATGATAGCGAACACACAACTAAAAAATCACATACACATTTATTACAAAAAACCAAATGCATATTAATTACAAGCAAGATGAATCTGCTCTAAGACATATTATAAAGAAATATACTACTCCTATTGACCCGGATAAAAAAATCAAACTTATTATCTATTATAAAAAATTTAAGACGGCCAACCTTATCCTCAAAAAATAACAACACACCAACGAAGTCAAAATTACAAAAGAGCGAACATTATCTATGAGTTCAATGCCCTTTAAGGAACTGCGTTCCTCACCAAACCGGACTCATAAATAATTACATCGGCTACACAACCACATGTTTATCCAGACGTCTTACATTACACCTATCTGATCACAGTTCCATCAGAACACATTTAAACACACACTCAGTTTTACCCGACACTATTAGGAACATACTAGTAGAAAACACTAATATATTAACTGCATCCACTTGCAAAAATAGACTAAAAATAATGGAAGCTCTAATAATAAAAAAGAAAAAGCCAACTCTTAACAATATCAATTATGAACAAAGCCACAATGTGCTAACCGTATTCGGAAACTAAAACATCACTACCACACACTGAACATACATAGAACACACACTCTACTAAGCTGATAATGAACCATCCTTGATAATGGCTAAAGGTATAGCCGAAAGCGCTCGGAAACACAGAACATTCGGACAGTTCTTACACACTCTTTGTCCAGAAAAGAAAGCTCTTGTCAGAACACAAGAAAAATTAAATAAAAAGCTCAACTGTAGTACCTTGTCTGTCGTTTTAATGAAACATGCATAAAGGAAGGATTGCTGCCTAATTATACAAAAATATATATATATATATATATATATATATATATATATATATATATATATATATATAGGATGAGTCAAAATTATGCTAACACTAATATGAGAGAAATCATTTATTCAGCGATTACTGAACAGTCTCAATCTGTCCACCAGTATGACTGATGCACATATAGCCAGCGATCAACAGTACAATTTACTGCCTTGACACAAATATCACGGAGAGTGTTTGATATTACACAATTTATTCTGTCATTGAGTTCTTCCATGTACCTAACATTTTTACTACATATGCTATCCTTTATCATACCCCATAACCAGAAGCCATAGGGTGTTAGCTCAAGGGAGGGTGGTGGCAAAGACTACGGTCTGCCGCGACCTATCCAACAATTTGGGAAACTTTGATCGAGAAAAGTGCAAACAGTACGGGTAAAATGAAGCCGTGCACCATTCTGTTAGAAATACCTTGCTCGTCTGCTTTCTAGGGGTATCTTATTGTTGTGGTAGGATCCACCATATTAGCATAGTGGAGTACCGACCATATAAATATGGTTGGTACCGGGAAGAGAGAGAAGGAATCAAGAGATTCAACCAGAGACTCTGCCCGACTGCGACTCAGACAACACATTCTCCAGGAACGGTCTTCCCAGGAATATACAAAAGACTATATGTAAATATTGTGTACACTTTCTTGTTTCAATACATTTTGTTCTAAGTACATTTTGTGTTGCATTATTATTCCATGCATTAATCAAGTTTCAACAGTTATTAATGGTATACTCTTGTAGCATTTGTAAATGAGAATTTGCTGTCACCGCTGGAGTTGTAAAGAAATATGGGCTAATTATATTAGATGCCACCTTCCAGTTAAAAATGGTGCATATCAACCCAATGAAAAAAATAAATTGCATAAATACATCTTGCAAACACAGTAGGTATCACAGTTAATTAACCGCAGGTAATCTGACAATTCTTCAAATGAAACCATTATTTAACGAAGCCAAAAATTATTATGAAATAACCCTAAATGATAGTGGATCTTTGGCAGGACTCACAAACACATAACACAGTACAAATAAAGCGAACGGGAAAAGAAACGCCATATGTTTCAACCCATCGTACATAAAAAATGTAAAAGCCAACGTAGGAAAATATACATTAAACAATCACTTCCCCTCATCAGGAATTCTCCAAAATTATACAACAGAATGTAAAAATCAAGTGCAATTGTTCCCAGAAAAATAAAATAATAAAATAAGGACAACATAAATTAATAAACCAACTACAAACATAAACCAAACCTACCTGCAACTGCAGAGCAAATAATGAATGTTCCTTAAACGACAATTGCTTGGAAAACAATATAGTATGCCAAACTACTGAAAATCAGCAGATAACGAAGATAAAACATACACAGGAGTAAATGAAAGAGCTTGGAAATAGAAATTAATTATAAAAACGTCCTTTACAAATAGTAAATAGATGAACAGCACATGGTATCTGAGAAATGAAAAGCAAAAAAAAAAAATTACCCAAAAATACAATGGAAAATAAAGAAATCAACATCAGCAAACAACAATAAATAAATAAAATTTAAACTTTGTCTAGTGAATAAAATAGACGTAATCACCTTCACAGACCAATAAAAATTACTAAATAAACCATCAGAACTTATCAAAAAACGCTGATACGAAACCAATTTTTTACTACGTTGCTTGCAAATCGAAATTAGAGACCAATACTGTTTGGAATACACCATGAAAACTACAGATGTATAAACTACGTACAAAACCAGATAATGTAACATTCTCTAGAGAAAGTCAATATTTGAACCAAACAAACCCTCGCAAAATATAAACAAAAAATATAAATAATCGAATTATGTAAAGAATAGGCAAACTAAAATTGAACGCATAAATAAAAGTAATTGTAATAATAAAAAACAAGATAAATTAAGAAATCAATAAAAAAAATATTGAATAAAATTTTAACATTATACTATAGCATTTTGATCCACAATTATTTCTACTCAATAGGTTCTAGAAAATTTGAAACGTAATCGTTATGAATTGGTTCGTTTTATGTTGCTGAGCATCATGAGCTGATAGGATTTTTCATGTAGCATGATTTGAATGACAATATATAAAAATGATAACGATTTCTACAGAGATGACGGTCTAATATTCATTGAGAACAGCACCGGTAGAAAAATTGATTACATCAAAATAATGTCTTTGGATTAATAAAAAAGAGTTCGGCTTTAATATTATTGTTGATACAAGTTTAAAGAAGGTTGAATATTAAACTGAATCCCAACAATGCAATAGTGAAACCATACAGGGGAAAAATATTGTCAGTTAAGATATATTAATACTAAATCAAAGTACCGCATTCAGATTATTAAGACGATTGCTGTAGGCATTGGGCGTAGGTTATCTCTTAAGTGATCTGTTTTTTTGGGTTATTTTGCGACAAGATAAGACATGTTTACCTATCAATGTTGGAGATAGAGAGAGCCATGTAAATATGTTAATATACTGAGATGTCAACCCGGTTTCGATTGATGCCAAAGTAATGAGAAAATTAAGACTATATGGTTCAATCCCAAGTCCTATTTAAAAGTGATAACCAAATTGACCAGAAATTCTTTGCCATATTCAAGAAGAACTTTTCGGTAAATAGGGCATTATATTAAGATTTTAACATGAATACTATGGAACTGAAGAATATCATTAATAAGCATAACCAGTATGTGTTTAGAGTAAGTGTACATATAATATAAAAAAGTGTAATTGTCGAAAAAGTGATTATTCTCCCTTAAACAGGGATTGTTTGACTGACAACTTTTTGTACAGAGCCGAAGGAATTACATTAGTTCGTTTAAAAGGAGGTAAAGCAAATATCTAACAACATTCAGTTTTAGAAGATATTGTAGTAACACTCATTCTGTCAAAATACATTTGTAAAATATAATATGAAAAGAAATCTCTAGCAAATTAATTTTTTTGTAAATTACGTCAGGATGAGACATTGGCGATACTGCGGTTTCCATATCGAGATTCTCTATTAAATAAGTAAGCTGCAATTATGACAAGAATTTTAATATTTGATATAGAAACACGGAGAGCATTCAATTTCGGCTAAAACTAAAACGCGTTCTCCATATTTAAGGCCAGCACAACGAGGTAAGTAAGAAAAATATTGAACTTGGCCTTACGATACTTCAATCTGAGGGTGAAATTAAATGGTTAAATATGAACTATCGGCCCGATCAAGAAGCGATGGTAAAATAAATTAAAAAAATTGGATCACGACTGACTCATAACACCTTTATCTATCTATCTATCTATCTATCTATCTATCTATCTAAGCGTATTCAATATCTGTCTAAATTAAATACAATGATTGCCATTACCTCGAATATTTTTATCACAGCTGTCTTATCAGAACCATATTCTATCTATCTATCTATCTATCTATCTATCTATCTATCTATTTAAATAGTAAATGGTGAAAATTCCCAGTCTGATCAAGAAGGGATTGTAAAATAAATCTGATGTCATTTCATCGCAAATTTGTATTACAACTGACATTTGATCACATTCTCCTATCTATCTATCTATCTATCTATCTATCTATCTATCTATCTATCTATCTGGCTGACTGTGTGTCTATCTCTCTTTTAAATTTGATTTAATACAAGTATCCTTTGCAGGAAAAGTAGTACTACATACTACATCATTGTCTGTGGTCGATATTCAACACCTGCTTAGATTACTTCAACAATAATATTCCCATCAATGGATTGTATAGAGTACTAAATTAACCTTAACTATATCATGCAAACTTGTGAAACAAGTGGCACACTCGATGTTTAAACAAAATATGATATATATCATACTTTATAGACTCCACTTTCTCATATAGACTCTTTATTTATGTTTGCCTGTTTGTTCATTTCTCATGGCTATTCATTCCGGTTTTCTTAGTGGTTTCATGTGTTTTTATCTAGCTTTCATGTAAACAGCAAATCCATTCTAAGAGAATTAGAAGTTCTACTAATCTTAACAACATAAGATATGCAAATGAGATAGTGGCGCTAGCAGATGCAGAAAGGGAGCTACAAGAATTCTTACAGAATGTTGTGAGGGAAAGCGAGAAGAAAGGACTAATCATTAACTGAATGAAGATTGCATGCATTGTTGGCACCAAAAGGGACATCCCATCATGCAAGTTACAGGTTGGGGATAGAAAAATCAAACAGGTGCTACAATTTAGATATCTAAGAAGCGTATTAACAGTGGATGGATAGTGCGATACGCAAACTCGAAGACGCACTGGAATAACAAATGATGCTTTTTCAAAATATTAAGAAACAGAAAAAATATTGTTATAAACAAAGAAAAGTGTACTGAAATGTTATGTAGTATCAGTCTCTCCTGTATGACAATGAATGCTGGACAACCGCCCCACAGATGAAGAAGAGACTTCACACAACAAAAATGGGGTTCTACCAATGCTGAGAATATCATAGACCGAACAACGACGACGAAGCAACGATGATGTTTTAAGACAAAAGAAACAAAAAGAAGACTTATATTTAACACCAGGAAAACACAGTTGAAATTTCCGTGTTACATAATGAAGAAAGAGGATTTGATGCTCACAGGAGATATTAAATTAAAGAGGGTCAGAGGAAAGCAACGCACAATCTATCAGATGATCTTGAGCGAATCGATGGTAGAGTAGGGATTGGGTGAGAGGACAAAAAGACAAAAATTGGTAATGGGTGACAAGGACAGGTAGCCATGACCGCCAACATTCTGAAGAGACACTTTCTGAAGGGACACGTCACATAAAGAGAATAGATGAAGGACAATATCTTCTTTTGCTTTTGATTATAAAATTTTATTTTTGAAAAATTTTTTGCATTTCTATACATGTGCGTTGGTTATGGGCGGACGAAGAAACATTATTTGTCCTTGAACGCTACCGATGTGTCGAAGCTAAATTTCTATCTGGGTCAACTTGTGCTTTTGGAAAAATCACGACAACAGAAATTCTACACCAGTCTATGGGTTAAATAACAAAGTAGACTTGGCTCTCTAGTCTGGAGTGATGGTGGGTCTAGGAAGACAAGTCTAAGGTGAAATCCATGTAGAAACCAACGGGCTACCAATATATTATTTTTCCCTGATCATTCATGGTAATTCATAGATAACAAAGGAAATAAATCTTAGCAGATTAGTGATTGCCTGAATCCTGAAGCGATATGGTCTTTTTTTAAAATACCAACCAACCTTTCGAGTTTTCACTGATTATATCTTGATATCCACCAAGCGAGCCTCTCTCATAATGTTCTTCTTTTCCGCTATCTGTCCCCACACTGTTTATATATATATATATATATATATATATATATATATATATATATATATTTATTTTTTTATTTAAAAAAAAACAGTGCTCAATACATAAGTAGAGCTTAAGTTATAATTATTTTTTTTAAAAGCGATGGAATCATATTTTTTGAGGAAATTTTTTGTTTGATAATTCTTAAGTGCCGGTTTTGGCGACAGTGTTGCCGACAATGGCTCTCCACTACTTCCTGTCCATTATAACTCTCAGCAACATTTTACTATTTACTATCTGCTCTTGGATATATATTGTTCATAAAGACTTTAATAAAAATAAATCGTTTAAATTGTTACAATTACATTATTTATTGTTATACAGTTAAATTTATATAATTAATTATACCAATATCTATAATTCTCAAAATCTGTTTATGTTTATGTATTTGTGTGTATGATGGGATGTGTTTATGAATTTACACAGTTTTCATCTGATTTCGATGAATTTATTTTGTTTGATAGATAATTCTTCAGTTCGGGTTTTGAGTAGAAATTATTGGTAACAATGGCTCTTAATTACTGCCTTATAGCTCTCAGCAAAGTTTAAAATTATTACAAATATTATTTATTATTATATATTTCCTTTTTCAGGGCCACTCTCCATTCAAATTGTAATTCCCCGATTTGGGGATCTGCCTCAGTTGCACCCTAATGTTGTTAATAATATTTATTTTCGAGTAGGCTGACTATAAATAAAACTGCTCCAATAGAACGACAAAAACTCCCAGTAATGAGAGACCCTGTCAAGGACGGATTATACTGCTAGTAATGTGTTAATTTTGAAATTTTCAGTTAGCGTTATTTCTGTTATTCTCTTGCTTTCGTATACCTTTTTATCATTTCTGTGTTTCTCAAATCACGGTATCATCACCGAACAGTCACTAAATTTACACAAGTTCGTAAGAGCGATCTTACTTTCAATGACGGTCTTTACTTGGAATGTTTATTGGGACTCAAGTTTTCAGATGGAAAGCATATATTCTTACCGATGCTGAAAATGCCGGAAGTATAGTATGTTCCTCGTATCGCTCGAGAAAAATTCTTATTCGTACTGACATGATTTATATCTACAAGAGTCAGATCAAACCAAAAATGGTCTATTCACCACTATCCAGCATTGAGTTCAAAGCTATTACACGCCCCGCTGGGAGATTAATTAACAATCCTTCTCTCACATATGATACGCTGTGAGCACCTCGGTATTATTTCACTATTACTTAGACAAATGCTTAAACGTTTTACATTCCTTAATTCCAACGGTACAAGCACTGGTAGGAGGCACTGTGATCCTTACACGGCGTCAAACCGTTCTTATTTCGTTCGTATTCCTCTCATAGGGAGGACATCTTCTTCAACGTATGCAGATTTGTGGAATAGAAAATTGAGAGGATGCTTATCTGTCGACTACAATCGTAACCTTTACACTTCTCGGATCAGTCGATATATATCCTAAATATCTTAATAATATGCCCATATTCCTCCTGCCTTCCGTCCTTACAACAATTTTAGCAACATTCTTGCTTGAGTGGCTCTTTGACGTTCTATTAGGCGATCGGTAGCATAAAAGATTACTCCGATTGTACATCATTATTTTATAAGTTTATCAGTTACAAAATGCAAATATTTCCATCTCAGAATGTCCGGGTATTCTAATTAGCTGTGTTTAACAGTCATGAATAATAACAATTAGAAAAAACAAAACAATATAGATAATGTATATAGGAAAATATAGCAATAAGAAGACAAATACAGATTTAATTTTAATATACCCTCGGGCTTTGATAAATAGTTTTAAAAACTGTTACAGTTAACTGCATAATATACATGGGATTTTTCGTTTTTATTTGACGACTGCGCATTCATTCAATATTTCAATGACGTGACAGCCTTTTATTATCGAATTTAAAATTCAAACCATTAATGTTTCTAGATTCCTACCAATCAAAATCGTTTTATGAGGCTCATGAGACCAATAATATCAGTTCTTGCTCAAATAATCTTTCGCCGTTAATCTGTATTTTTTATGAGTTTTAATCATAAATTTAAATTATACTCGATATGTGACACAAATGTATTTTGTGGAGAGGTGCAATCATTCGGCATCTACACGAGATTCTATCGGAAAAATCTCGAAATATAGGTTCTTTTTTTGCAGATCTATGGTAATACACCCAGCTACGCGTCAGAAGTACCTTGTCTACTCAGTCAGTATTCAACTAGACACTGTGATATCCTACCATGTTAAATTATTAAGCGAAGTTTTGTAAAAATGTCATGGAACAGTTCTGAAATCTTCACGATTGCTGACAAATTCAGTCAACATGCAAATCAACTAGCAAGACCAACAGAATTATTTCTTCAGGCATTTTGTAAACATTTTTCTAACACACAATTCAAGTTTGGCTGACCGTCGGTTTTAGGGAAACTAGCAATATATTACATGAACTCAGCCATGTCGAGCATCGTTTAACAATGCATCAGTTCTCTCTCGATCTCTCATGACTGAAATGAGTGATGCTGTCAGATGATCCAGAAACTTACTGATACAATAACCTACTTAAAATTTGCGTAGGGTGTTTTGTCGATTAGAGGTGTTTGTTTTAATTAACATCATTCAGAAATATTGCCTCTGTTTCTATTGTGACAGCTGTCACATCAGCTTTTCCTTTTTGGGCGTGTGTTTTGGGAATGTTTTTGTCTATTGATTCTTACATCTTCGGTGGAATATCAAAAGTGGTTCGTGATGGTTCGCATTGGAATATTTTTTAGTGAACATTTCTCTTTTAATCTGGTGAATCAAATGAATGTAATAGCTAACAAGTAGAAACAATACCTTATGGACTAAATATCGAAGCATATTATCGATAATAGAGACAAACACCTACAAAAATGTGGAGAGTAGAACAGCTGAAAGGATTCGTGTACAACAAATAAGGCTTGTTAGTCTAAATGGCAAGTATATAATACGGGTAATTTATCATTGTCCATGTGGTAGGTAATAGATATGATACACCAACTGATTTTTATTTAAATTGCAGCGAAAACTGAATCATTCTACTTCCTCTGGGTGTGTAGAGAACTAAAGCCAGTACAAAATTGG